TCACACCAGAAGAGTAATTATTCACCCAACGACAGATTGCATTACACAGGTGCTATCGCGAGTGGCAAATTCAACACGGAGAAATAAGAAAGCTCGCGGGAGGAATGACATTGCTCGCGGTAAATCGAGCGAGGGGTCGATTCATGCAAAGCTGAGCTGCAACGGAGGCAGCGGATGCGTCCTGGAAAGAAAACGGTAAAGAAAAGACAAGTAGGGGAGGTGGAAAAAAATACAGAGAACCGTGGTGCATGCGGTGGATGGTTGGCGTAGCAGGAAACAAAAGAAATAAGCAGGAGGAAAATAGTGATCACACCGAAAGCCCACCCGGGTTTGAATCCCGTGCACATATTGGTTACACACTCCGAGCAGGAGTCGTCCCGACCTTACGACCCGGCCCCTCCGCCATGCATACCCACCCGTGTTCTCTCCACCTACACCTAACTGTCCATCTCGTCCGTCTTTTTTCCATCCACGCGCTCGTATCTTTGTCTCCTATGGGTACCTCTCTTAACTCCCGTCTCTTTTCGTCCTTTGTTCCCGCGTCTTCCTTACCTCATCTCTTCGCTCTTCCCGACTTCATTTTTCCTTGGACTCACATTGTCCTCTCTCTCCTTCCTTCCACATACCACCCCTCTTCTTTCTTCTGGCCAACGGCTCCTTTTCTTGCTCTCTTGCTTCTTCCTATCTCCAACTTTTTTCTCTATCTTTCACTTTTACCGTCTCTCTATATCTGCTTCGCTTCGTATCCTCCTGTCGACGCGACTCACTCAGCAACTTTTTAATCACCCCCGCCGAACAAAGCTGCGAGAACCAACCGGGTGTCCTGGAATAAACGTGATCCTTATTCTTCTGTTCGTCCTGACGTCGATTGTATCTCTGCTCGCTTTCATGCGTCTTGTTTCGCGCGGTCATTCATAATCGAGGGGTAAAAGTGGTCGAGTCACTAGGTCAGTGGATTAACTTGGGGTTAACGTGCATTGTTAAAGTGATTACGCGAACGATCCAATGCGATACTGATGCATTTAGAGTCTTGGAAGAAATATAGTCGATCACGAGATATTGTTTACCGCTGGAAAGTTGACTATCGGGACGATAGATGGGAGAGGGGAGTACTTAGCTTGCTCCGCCCATCCCCACTTTCTTCGATTCGACCAGTAGTGGGGAACCAATCAGATCCACATTCCTTTCACTTGCCAACTTCTCACGAACTCACAGTACAGAAACAAGAATAGAATCATTGAAATTAAATAGAGGGAAAGGACGAGTAAAAAATAAATGATAGGGGATACTGCATTTCGAGAGAATTTCTATTTAACAAGAATAGAAACATTGAGATTAAATAGAGGGAAAGTACGAGTGAAAAATAAATAATGGGAGATATTGCATTTCGAGGGAATTTCTATTTAACAAGAATAGAAACATTGAAATTAAATAGAGGGAAAGGACGAGTGAAAAATAAATAATAGGGGATATTGCATTTCGAGAAAATTTCTATTTTACCATTAAATGCGATCTTCTATTTATCAAGAGAATATTGGTAATCATTAATAACAACGCAAGTTTACCGTAACATACCCGACAGCCCTTTTAAAATAAAACAAAGGAATTGCCCCTCGGGACATCAAATAAAAATAAGAGTAATATAATTAAGGGAGCCTCGGTCGCCAGTCGAATTTACATTATTGTCAATATTTATTTCACGTTCGCGGCGTGAAACAATTATTTAGGGAATGGAGAGAAGGGCGTAAGAGAAGTCGACGAAAGGGAGAGTTAAAAATATTCAGCAGACATGCGAATATAATTTACAAGAAATCAGGGTTTCGTTGATCGGTTCCCGATTCGTAGGCGCATTATTTGAAGTGCTTCAATAAATTAATTGTTTTAATTGCTTCGATAAAACGGCCGCAATAAATTAAATTTACCGTCGCCCTTTTTAGTGGGGCTTTCAAGTACTGGATCGGGAGGGAACGTTCGTTTCGTTTGAAGATTCATATTTTTCTTTGATATTGAATTTGTAATCTTTACGAAAAATATAATTCTGTAATAAATTAACGTTTTGTAGTCGAAATGAAATCGTTCGAGATATTTGTTATCGAAAGGGACAACGAGGTATTTTTTAAATCTGTGTTTGTTTTTCCATCTAGACGATCGTCGATCCGTTCTCTGTTGATAAAGGAGTGGAAGAAAAGACTTCGCGGATCACCCTGTATAAAAGGATAGCACTGGCGTCCGTTATCGAAAACCATCCCTTGCTTTATAGTAATTATACCGACGATCCCCTTTCCCACTCAGGCTACGTCTAACCACCTCAGTGGGTTTTTAAGACAATGAGCCGTGTCTCCAACGAGAAACAGGGAATATTCAGTCGTTGCCAGTACTACTTTCAATCATGTAGCTCGCTTTGCCAACTTTCTTGTTAGGTAGCAACGACAAAGTTTTGCGACACAAGCCTCGATACCCCGGGCAACCATAGACAGAGAAAATTCTTATCCAGATACAAATTTCAAATAACTAATACATCAAGTAATTAATACATCTTATACTCCTATTTTTCTTATGGTTCTTCCAATATGTTTTTAACATTATTTTGCGACTCGGATAGACTCGATGAAAGATTTGAATTGGCCCACGGGCTAAACTTTATGCACCACTGGTCTAGAAGACCCTTTATATATAACGTCAAGAAGGCCTTGACTAGATTAACGAATCATTGGCCTGGATGTGCATCGTGAGTTAGTCTTTCAAAATGGCAACCCCTACCATGTTATGGGTTGACGTGTCGGTTCACGGAGGGTCGCAGAAAAATTAAACAAAGTTCATAGAACATCGATAGGGGAGGAAATGAATAGTCAATTGCTCCCAAACGAAATAAAATCAGTTCTGAAATTTACTATTGAACGATATTTTTATAGATATGGTTCTGACAGAGAAAATTACGTTCGACGATGTGTAAACCTCGAGGCTATTGACACTCGTGTGTACATTCAGCTTTTATGTTATTTTCTATATTGTAACAGGTTCTTCTCTTTTAATTGCAACTGAAATTGCGAATAAACGTTTGTGATTAAATTTTTAAATTACGTAACACCGCAAAATCGTTACGAGATTAAATTCTTTATAAATAAACGTTTTACAAAAATTACTTAGTTTAATTTATAAATGTTATTTTAATTCACTGAACTGTTACGTACGTATATTTTTGTTTAACAATGGCTGTTATATTAATTTTGTGTACCTTCATAAATAAAATTCGAGTAATATTTGATAAAAAAAAACATGTGGTGGCTGACTTATTATTCCACTACAACCAACGAGAATTCATAAAGAGAAGAATAAGATATATTGATTTAAATTTCCTCGAAAATTGACACCCCATTGAGAAAGCGTATGTTTCCACTATTATTTCCACCCATCTTTTTTTGTCTTGTTTCTTCAGAAGAGAGGCGTTTGAATCTTTGTTGTTCCGCAGGAACCAACGAACCAAGATCGAGTTACAGCCCCCTTTGAGCATTCACTAACCATATAGTACATAAATTTACTGTTAGGCATATTAGTTGCACCCTACTTCGAAGCCCCCGCATTTCTTCAGTGCGTCTGAACCGTAAGGTGGATTCAGTTTCCGCGACAGAAATATAATACCAATTATAATCACCTTTAATCTACATTGAACATACGTTATTTTGTACTTTGAGTTTAATATCATAAATTCAGTCAACATTTTAAGTCACAGTCTAACAATAAGACAAACCCATAATGATACACTTTTGCCATTCGATGGATATTATTAAATTAGGAAGCAGAAAATATTAATATAATATCATAATTGACTGTCTAAGTAAATATTAAATATTATAAATATAATTAATTGACTGTCCATATTTTTACTAGATATTCCTCCGCGACATTTAACCCCCTACAACGTTTAGAAGTATCAGAAGGATAGTATCACCAATGTATTTTAAAACAAGTATTTTTTAACATAAAATTTCGAATCTCTTTACAACAAATAGAAGCATAACAAAAAGTTTTCATAAGAGAATTATCATATCAAGTCATGAAACATTTTATGAAAAGTGTTTTTTTTTTATTAACATGGGAAGTTGTTAATATTAATAGAGATTAAATACTAACAACTATTTAAATTGCCTTTAAATTTGCCAAAACGATTCAAATTTTAGGGTCGAACTTTAGGAATACTTTCGTAATTTTGCTTTTTTAAGGGTGGAAAAATGTTTTTTATTTTTTTTCTCCGTTGTTATGTCACTTCAAGTGCATAATAGAATCGGTGCATTCGTAGTCTGAGGGAGGAGGGCGTTGGCCTGGAAAAGATTTCGTAAAGGGGCGTTAGGCCGATGAAGGTAGGGAAACGCTGTCCTAGTGGCTCTTTGCAACCCTGCTAAGGTTCGTCCACGACACCCACCTTCCTAGTAACTCCTGGTGAGAGTCATCGGTTCCTCCGCTACTAACAAACTCTAAATAAACCTCCGATTCTCGGCTTCGTAGGCGTCCTCCACCCTCGACTCGCAACAACCCCCTCAAAGCCATACAATTTCTCTAAGCTTCTTCCTTTTATCTAAAGTAACATTATTAATATAAAATTCAAAATTTTTGCGTTTGTGCCCACCACTGACAATACTTTTGTCCAATCTAAAATTGAAATTTTGTTTGGTTGCTATTAATTAGGCGTACTCAGAAATATCAAAAACCTCAAATCCCAATTTCTTGAAATTTGTTCTCTTGATTAAAATTCTACATTCAATAAATGATATGATTTCCTATACAGAAAATTTGCTGTGACTTTAATTATACATTCCTGATAAAATGGATAGTTTTTTAAAAACATAAGGAAAAAGTATTTGAATTTAGAACGTCGAGAGTTCCAAGTCTGTTTTTCCTTAACAGTGATTCTAGTTATATTTCTAACATAAGTTTCTAGTACGTAACGACATAAAATATTTTTCAATCGTTATATGAAAACGTCTGTTTCTTTTCAGTACAGCGATCGGTCTACGCCCGTTCTTCTGATAGTCTCGCTCGCGGGTATCAAAGTATGCAGTCCAGATGGAAAAGTGAGTATAAGTGACGTACGTAGATAGCGTTTGACGCGCGCGGGAAATATAGAAAAGGGAACGAGGAAACCCGGGAGGGGAAGGAACATGCTTTCGCGTTCGCGTATCCATGAGATGCAAATTAACATTGTGTGCCTTTTAGTGTGTCCCCGAAGTGCGACCCACAAAGAAACTCGGTCAACGCGCCTTAAACACGATGTACACATACGAAATATCTACGCCGAGTCGAGTGACGTTCTTTCGCAACAGCTTTTAGTTCGGACAATTTTGATGCGAACGCTTTGTACGTCTGACGAATATTTCGCGACGAAAATGTCATTCGTATATTAAACGTTAAGTCTTTTACAAAATATGGTTCGTCAAACGATTTTCACCGAACCGAGACGAAGCAATTTCTCCTTTTGAATGTTGACTGATTACACTCAAAGAGCCTCGATGATAGAGTTTTCACTTTGTCGCGTTTTAAATTTCAATTCCAACGTTTGCCGTGGTTGTTTTACACGAAACATATTGTAGAAAATGTTTTAATACATTTGGAAAATCACTAACTAGTTCGATTGAATTTTTTCGTCACGATTTCGAAGCAGTTTGAATTTCTCAATGAATATTTAATTTAATAATTAACGTCGATAAAAGAATGAATTTTAACAGCGTGTTGTTATAGCAAGAAAAATAAACGAAACAAGTTTGGACATCAAAAATTTAGTCTTTGTTCGTGGAAAAAAATGGAAAATTCTATGGAAGGAAATATCGTGAATAGATTCGAAAATGTAGGACGAACAGAAAATGAAACAGGTCACGGTAGAGGGAAATCATTAATCTCATTGGAAGAGCGTTCTATTGCGCGAAAAGGTAAAGAAAATTCTAAATAAAGTGCTTCTAGAATAAATGAACTTTCTCAGGATTTTTGTCAGGAAACTGTTTCTAAGGGTACAGTTCCAAGAAATAATGGTCTTGTAGACAGAGAAAAACCGTACGTAACTATAATTAATAAAAATAAGGGAACAGGGTTTGCTAAAGAATGTATTTCTATTTTTTGTATGTTTCTTGCCATATTATACTTACCACATATTTTAATGGATATTATTCCTCCTTTTACTTGCAAGTTACTATTTAGAACCCACATTTTGCTTTTCTTTTTGCTACAGAACTTTACTCTAACATACTTTTAATTATGAAAGTTTTACATTTCTATTCAGAACATTCCTGTTACATCAATTTAATACTTTAAAAAATTATATTTTATTTTAAATTACCGATACGAACGATCGATCGTACGAAATGTAATTTACGAATCGGTCAAATAGTAGAAAAGTTATTTAATATTTACCTTCCGCTATCAAATATTGCGTAGTCTCTTTCAATTATCAATTAAATTAAAATTTCATCTCATTCGGTTTTTCTTGCATAAGCCGAGGTATACTATATATAGATAATATGTATATGTATATGTATAACAGTTCCTCATCACTTTGAGAGCCGAAGAAGAAAAAATTCCCCGGTAAAAAGCATCGCCAATATTCGATCTACAAAACAGTCGAGGGGCAAACTTTTCGAACCTATTGATTTTATTGCAGTTTATTGTTTTTTCGGTCGAGTCTACGCGAATTGGTTTTGCGCGAGTGCATATTCAACCCACCGAAATTCTCGAAAATTAATTAGCCAATGACTTTCTCATGTATCGAACGATAACGTAAACGTTATATTTCAACGATATCGGTATCCAGAAATTTCATTTACCGACGCCTATGGTTCAAATACGAATCGCAGCAACGAGTCTACAATGAACGAATCCAGTACAGACATCTTTGTTTATTGTTTCGAACCGTTTCATATTAATAATCCAGCGTGTATGTCTTGTTATATTTGTTGTACAACTAATTGTTCAAAGGCTTTATATATTTTTGTAAAAATGAAATTTCAAACATAATTCGAACTTAGTATTGATTCGTTTGAATCACTGAAAAGTAATAAAATACAGTAGAACGTATTAACAATTTTTAATTAAGCGTTCAAATATAAGAGATTTTTGTTCTTAATGAAATAACTTTATTCGTTACTTTTGGTTTCATTCTGTGAATAAAGTAGTTATGAATTTTATGCACTTTCCTTAATATTCATCAGTCAAGAGAACTTAATAAAATATTGTTAACTTTTGCATTCTTTTCCGTGTAAGTTTATAACACGTGAAAAAAAACGTTACGTAAATAAAACAGTAAATAGAGTAAAAGGCGAAACTTAGAGGCGATCAATTTTCAGTTACCTTTCTCGAGTTGTCGCGGCGCGGTCCTAAGCGTGCGACGACTTCTCAGACGCACGTACGCGCAGAGGCGAACAACTGTGCCGGATGTTAGTGTAAAAGGAAGCCACGAAACCTCAAACGTTCGGATTCAAACTTGCTCTCTTGGTTAGAACTTCACCCAGTTCTGTATTTGAATCTGGCTGATTGCAACCACTCTCCGGGAATTGAACTTTAACCACTTTCCTTGGAGGCGACTTGAAATCCTTATGGATTTCAAACCTGCCAGCGGGCTTAGTCGGGTTGCTCTTTGGTTAGTCCGTATTAGAAATATCGTACAATTGTCTGGTCGCCTCGTCGTTACAACCTTAGTTCTGAAATCGAAAGTATCGACTCACGATCACGAATATACTAATTTTACATCTTCTAATCTATTAATTCTTGAACGCCGTGTGTCACATAATTATTTCACGCTTCGTTTCGAATAGTTCAAATATCAGATTCTTTAAAGATGATTTAATGTCAATCATTTTTCTGAATCTTTGAACTTTTTCTCTCATAAGCGATCTAGTAACAGTTCTTTAATTTATATTTACTTCTCGTACTCGGAGGGTTTCGTTAGCCATGAATATTGAATACAGCTTTAACCATTGTTCTTGGACTACTATCAGGTCCTCTCGGGTGACCAAGTCTTTGTCTTATCAATCTTCTCATTTTATTTGAAACTTTTAACTAAATAAACGATCAACTAAGATGAGTCCTTTGCAGGGATTCTTTTAACTTTTCTCACGCACATGTTTTCCGCCCGGAAACCCTTTTTGTCCTCCTCTTTTCTTTCCATACATTTCTTTTTTTTAAAGATTCCAAGTGTTGGTTGGTTGCTTTCCGATTTCGATGACATTCTTCGACATTAAATTTAGGAATCGATTAGGGCCAATTTTATTTAGTCAACGTGAAGTAACATGAATTTCGATAATGAAAACTTTCTAATGGATTACGACAAATAAATAATATGACAGGATGCATTCTGTTTGAATCGCGTTTTACGGTGCTAATTTATCGTTGGAATGGCGGAAACGTCGCGACGAGGTGATTCAATCGCGATTCTGTATTGCAACAATCTCCGATTCTGTTATTCTTTGCAACAAAACATCGGCAGGAGCAGTTTCCTCGGGTCCCCAGAGATTTCAAAGTGATGCCGTGATAGACAGCCCGAACGAATCCATCGGACAGAGACTAATGCGGCCTAGCTCTTTTCTATATCGCTGTCATTCTGATTGATAATCCTTGTTTCTCTCTCGGGCCGTCTAATGTCGCTTTTTGTTTCCGCTTTTCCCTTTCCCGAACTTCTGACTTACCCGGGCTGCCGGGGGCTCGAATCTTTCGGGATACCGGTGGCACCGAAAGTTTTAAGAAGTGTTTTCGTGTCGCGCGTCGAAGGAAAAATTCCACGAAAAAGAGGAGAAGATATGCCCGGGAGGCCTATTTCGATAGCTCCGACAACAAATAAAAATTTTATTCCGTTCGCTTTTCGTTCGCCGCGTTCCTCGTAAAATTGCAGCGAGAACAAACATATTTTAGATATGCATTTCGGTATTCATACTTTAATTTGTGTCAATTTTTATTGGAAAATGTTGGAAATTCTTCGTACGACTCTTTTAATTTTGGTACTATTTAAATGAAATTATAATATTTGGAATGTTGACAGTTGTTATTTAAATTTTAGTCTTTAAGAGAATTTTGTTATTCGTTGATAGACGTTGACTTGCTCAATTTTAATGGTCTGATTTAAATAACATTATAATATTTAGAATGTTGACAGATGTTATTCAAATTTTAGTCTTTAAGAAAATTTTGTTATTCGTTGATAGACGTTAATCATCAAAATTTCTCTATTTTATAATTTCTAGAATTTGAATCCTTCTTTCAATTTTTTGTGTTCCTCTGTCGAGTTATTTTTAAATCTGCAATTACTACCTAGATATAATTACCCTCACTCGTATTCGTACACTAAATTATAACAAGTTTTTCATAAATTCTTTCCATTTATTTTTAAATGTTGTTTATTACACTGTGCTGTTACTTCTATTTACGAGGTAGTTTTTTTTAATTTTTTAATATTAACTAGCTAACTATTTAACTACTTTTTAATGCCCAATTACAAAACCGATAGAGAGGTATAAATTAGTATATAAGCAATATACAAATCAACACAATACGTGGTGTCCCCAACGGTCACCCATCCCAAACTACTGTATTTGACCACGCCCAATACAGCTTCATTTCAATAATCAGACGAGAATCTTTTTTTTCGACAACGATTTATTAACAATATATTTAGAGTTGTACGTGTATAGACTTAACCTAAATCAACTTTATACAATCTTTTCGCATGTCTGATGTTTGAAAGTCCCTGCTTCTCTTTGTGGTTCTACCTTTCATTTTGTAACAGCATAGACATAGTATTTATTTTTCTTTTACAGTTATCACAGTGTGCTGTCTAAAAATATATATTTTCTATTGAAGGAGTATCTTTGCTTACAGGAAAAAGTGTATTAAAAACCTGTTTCACTAACAAACGAAAAACAGTTCATCCAACATACCATAATAAGTTTTGTTTTTAATTTAAACCCATAAATATCTCAATGTACGAAACAAGCTTTTTCCCCATTTATAGTGAATCCCCATTATAGTCTACGAATACGAGTATGAGTAACTGTATACTTAAGATATCAACATTTCAACTCAATTTAATAGTTTA